ACTCGATGTTTTAGATATGCTGATAATTGTGGATTATGTACAGATTTCTAGCATTGATCAGCCGGCTTATTTTAGTTGTATAGTGCAATTGAAATTTTATTGGGCAAATTCTTTATCTATCATTATCAACCAGCATTACATACATCACATACGTATCCCGGGAAGTGTCACAGAGCCAAACTCAAGTAGCCGCCACTGCAATATCACATGCATTCAGCCTACGTCTCACTCAAAATGCCATGCGACAATAGTTTAAAGTACAAGATGAAGATAGATAGAACACAGCATATACGGAAAAACCCAACTTTTTTTGCTCTCAATACATGAAATTCGTCTGAAGGATAGAAGACGTGCGCCAACCCTGATGTTTCTACCCGGCCTTTGCTCCACTGTACATAAATATAAGTGAAAAAAGCTTGTTTTACATCATCACTCACATAATCTATCATGGATTGATAAGGTATCAACCAACAAAAAAAAAATAGTGGGAAAATTTTACTTTTTCTTATTTGGTTGATGAGAATTTGATCCAATCAAATTTTGGCATCACATCAACAAAAACAAATCTGTAAACTGTGATGTGCATGTAGCATAATCGAATATAAGCAGCTAACACCTCCAACTACTAACAAAAGCCATCTGGCCACAATACGCGTCCACCGAGGCTGAAGTTGCCCATACAAGAGCCTGCAAGCAACAGCCTCCAATCAGTTGCTTCTCATGTCACCAAATCCACCCCCAAACTGGCTCACTGATTTAGTCTACTAGCTGGTTAGTAGCCTGCGACCTTCCCTTCCGTCCCCATGCATTTAGGCCAATTCCGCCCAACAAGGTTACCATCAAGTAAACCAACACTGCCTTGCTTCCATCTCCGCTGAAGCTGCCACTCACAGGCATATACAACCAAAGGCATTGGAATGGGGCAATGCGATGCCCATACCATAACCATGACTTCCAGTGAGGTGCTAACAGCAAGAAAGATATAATTGCTGATCAGAGTTGCTCGCGTGAATGACGATAATTTTACCACATATTTCCATCACAGAACGAAGCTCTAAGGAGGGACTGCAATCCACAGGATCACTGAAAGAGCTTGTTAAGTTAACAATGAGCCAGCAAAGAAAAGAAATTGCATATATAGACCGGGCAAATTTTATGAAGCCTAATGTTGTGTTAATGACCAGATCAGATAAGTACCAGGCTACCAGCTCAGAGTTATCCCGTGATAAAGGCGTTTTGGAAGCATTGGAAGCAGCAGAATATCATTGAAACAGCAAATGAAACTGCAGACAAGAAGAAAAACTTCAACATAATTTTCAGAAATTTTCACCATGAATTTGCTTTCAAAATACTCGTTGGCCGATATCAGTCCCCTATGATTACCCATCAACTTAATCCAACTCAGAACTGCACCTCAAACTCAACAAAAGCAATCACTTGCATCTCTCTTACATACTGATCCCTGTATGATGGTCTCCGCAACCCTGAAATCATCTCCAGAAACAATATGCTTCAAGAACTTGCCTTGATATAAGATGCAATTCATTTAGCTTTTCCAAGAAACTAGATCGAATTCCACCCAGCTCTCACATGGGAAAGAATTATGATGAGAGCACGCCAGTTTTTAGCAACCCATATGAAAGTAAAAATGTGAAAGATTGTATTTGTAAAAAGGACTGTCGGGGTAGGTCCAGTGTAATTGTATTTGTACTTGATCTTTGATTGCTCGGGTATGCCTGGTATACTTGTAAATAAGTTTTGATCATTGGAATTTTACATTTAACGATCAAAAAAATGAGAAACATAAGATACGAATTCCTTGGGGGTGTGGAATACAGGTTATTATATTCCAAGCAGAGATAAAATGTAACTCTAGGTGAGGCGACACGCTGAAATGAAGCAAAAATAGCTCTGAGCAGAACTATTCACCGCTAAGGACGCACTTGCAAAACTTCTTTTTAGAGTCTAGACAGCAGTATTACTGCAATTACTACTTTCAAATAATTTTCAAGTATCATGTGTATGATGATGCAGTCACGATTCTATTCAATTGTTTCTATATCCAAACTTCAGAACAAGAAAAAGAACTTCATAAAGCTCAGCTGTACTTTTAAAGGTTCACCAATCCATTGCTGCACTTAAGCTCCACATGAAAATGAAAAATCTGCAACACATGAATACAGACCCCACAAAGGAGAAAGCTGAACCCCAGAATTATGCATTTTCAATAAGCTTCCACAGTCCAAGAATCTCCAATTGTGCCAAAGTCTCATACGGCAATAAGTCCACCAATTGTTCTCTCATTTTCCAGCAAATTAACAGAACTCCTCATATTGACAACAATGATCCGTTTAGGATATTAAGATGATTAAACTTACAGCACAAACTGTAAATGAACACAATTTACTAGACAAGATCAGGCAAGTTGTGGCTTTTCCAAGATCCTAATTTTCCAGAGAGAGAGAGAGAGAGAGGTGATCTCTTTTTGTAAAACTACTGCATAAAAGAACCATGTCAATTCTTGTTTTCTGTTCAAAAGAATCACATAAATTTTAAGTACAAACCTCATCTACTTAATTCTTCAAAACAAAGTACGAATCTTGTCATGCAGAAATTTGTTTACTAATATCTAGTGTTACGTGTATTCAAATTTTTAACTTTACATTTTCCCCTGAAACTACATATTCAAAACTATGCACTGGTGGTTTGAATCTAATAAATATCCATAGGAGTACGACTTAATTGAATTTAATCATGAAATAACTTCATCCTCAATACTAAAGCAAGGACTGCATCAAAGAATCAAGTCGTAAACAAAATAAACTCAAGATCAGTAGGTCTGGTTGAAGCGTGACTCAGATTTTTTGTTATCAGGTTTATCTGTAAGTTGACAGGTGTGAATATTAGAAGTTAACAGGTTGATAGGTTCCCTACCTCTTTACATTCTCAACTTGACAGGACTGTACAGCCCTTTGCCTTTAATTTTGATTCCTGACCCAAAAATTTCAGCCCAGATAACACCAAGTCTGCCGTCTTCTTTTTCATGTGGTCTATAAGTATCTCATCACAAACTATTTCATCTGCTTCTCTTAGGAATTTGCGGTCCCTCATACTTGCAAATACTTTCCTTGCCTCTTCAGTTGTTCCATGCTCGCACATGCCATCGATGATAGCTGCATATATAACACTGTTTGGAGGGCGACCCTGTTCCACCATTTCATTGACAACGTCAATTAACTTTCCAGCATTATTTAATTTGCAGACATGGATAATTGTGAGGGTGACCTTGAATTCCATCGGACCACTTGTAACATGGGCTAAACAGTCACGAGCAAGTTCTGTGACTGCATCTACTTCTCCTTTTATGGAAAGGCTTTTACCAAGAGAATAATAGGCATCAATCGAAGGAATTGAAGAGGATTCTATAATCCTGTTGTAACACGTGCAGGCTTCATGTATATATCCAGTTTCAACATAACATAGAATTGCATTACTGCAAGTTATCGAGTCAGGAACCAAGTCAGAATCATTGAGCTCACGAAACAGTTCTAATGCCTTGTTCACTTCACCATCCTTGAGCAGAGACTCCATAATATAGTGTAAACTGAAACAGTACGAAAGTTTTTCTTTTTCAAGTCTTCTAAAGCCAATGTTACTCTGTCATCCTTCTCCACCATAAAAGAGAAGAATTTCAACAGATCATCAATCACACAATAACCCAATTTCTGCATTTGTGCAAGCAATGCTCAAAATTCATCCATTCTTTTTAACTCTGCATAAGAAACCAAGATAGGATTCATAGTAGAAAAATCTGGCTGGAGATCCTCTTGAATTGTTACTTGGAGAAGTTTATAAGCCCTGTCAACCTGTTGCACGCTGCATAGACCTTTGATAAGGGAGTTATATATTGACAAGGATTATTCTACTTGTACTAAATCATGTACAAAATGAGTCACAAAATCAACAAGTGGTGCCCCCTATTGGAGGGGCGGCCTCCAATCAATGGCCGCCACTTGTTGATTTTGTAACCCATTTTGTATCCCATTTTTTACTCATAACATGGTCCATATTGACAAATCAGCCCTGTATCCTGAGTCCATCAAATCTTTTAGCAAATCACAAGCCGAACCGACCTTCTAATATGCCACATATGCTTCAATTAAAGACCCATAAATAGCTCTGTTACACCCCTCACCATATTACTTCGGCACGCCAATTCCGAAGCGATGCCGACCTCGGCCGAACTCCAACTTTCACTATAACACACATACGTCAAAAACTGAACCTACTGAAGCGTTCCCTGGAACCGAAGCGATTTGGAAATATGAGGTTCTCCCTTAATAGATCCCTCCGCTGCCAGTTTCAGAAGATCTGTGTCAAGATCCTCTATGGATGTGATATCTCCATGGGTCTAATTGATGTGACATCAACTTTATGTNCTCACACCGTCAGATGCATACATGTGTTCCACATCCAACGGTGCTCATCGTCTATAAATACCCTTGGTTTTGCAAGAGATAAAGGTAATGAAATTCAGACTAGACTTAGCTCTCTACACACAAAAAATATATATTCTCCTCCACACTCTCTTGTACGATTCAAGCACTGTTCCGATCACCGATCACTAACTTGACCGTCGGAGTGTATGCGGTCGCCACCATCCCCATTGGTTCCGACCGTGTGCTTCTGACCATTCATTATTGTGCGCAGGAAGGACTACGTGCAGTGCTATCAGTGGGCCACGTGGAGGGTCCAATTCTCAAGATCAATAGATTGGCACTGTCTGTGGGAAAATTCCGTCAAAGAGTTCCCCATTTACCACCGGAAAAGCCATCGGAGAACCATCGACTTACCTTGAAAAGGGGACGTTCTTGAAAAAGGATCAAGTCGACCTACAATCCAAAAGTTCCTAATACCCTTGAAAAAGAGAAGAAAATGAGTTACAGCAATGAAGATGCAAATCCTGAACTCAAGGGCACCTATGAAGAACAGGTGCTCCGGACAAATGTCACACATTGGATACCCATCATCGGCATCGTCAAGGTGACAGA